CTTGGGAGATGATAAAAACTCACCGTGTTCCGTTCGCCTACCGATAGGTTGGGTCTTAAGTGGTCCGTTGCCGCCGTCCGGTAATTCTACTTCTTCGTGTTTCAAGTGTGTTGTTGAAGATTCTTCTCTGACCGACCAGATAAAATCCTGGTACGAGTTGGAATCGTATGGTGCTTTCAAACAAGTCGATGCCCGTTCCGCCGCGGATAAACATGCTTTATCTATCCTAAATTCTGAAACCGTTCACAATGGCGAAAGATACATTGTGCCTATGCTTTGGATTGATAGTAATCTCAGTCTACCAAACAATTATTACTCGTCACTCGCCCAATTTAAATCGTTGGAGAGAAGGTTAAGTAAAGACCCTGAGCTGCGCGAAAGATACGCGGAAACCATTAGAGAGGACATAAGGAAAGGCTATGTCGTTACCGTCGAACCGCATGATCCACGTAAGCGTTCCGATCGCGAGCGTTCCGATCGCGTTCCGATTGAACCGATCCCGTCGTAAATCCGAATAAGCCGGGTAAGGTGCGCCGAGTTCTTAATGGGGCTTCTAAGTTTCATGGCACATCCTTAAATAAGTCCTTATTGGTGGGTCCTGACCTACTCCAAAATTTAATTTTTGTGCTTTTGCGATTCCGTCAACATAAGTACGCCGTCTCCGCGGATATAGAGGGTATGTTCCTCCAGGTAGGAGTCCTTGCCCGCGATCAAATTTCGCTCTGTTTTTTGTGGTGGGAGGATACCACTTCCGATGTGGTAGTTCATCAGTACACTCGCCATATATTCGGCGCACGGGATTCGCCTACGTGCGCAAATTTCGCGTTGCAAAAAACAGCAACTGATAATATGTCCACATACCCTGAGGTCGCCTCAGTCGTAAATGAAAAATTTTACATGGACGATTACTTGGATTCATTCGAGAACGTTACCCAAGCAATTAAAACTAGTCGCGATTTGGTTTCCTTACTAAAATTGGGAGGATTTAATTTGACTAAATTTGTCAGTAATGCTGATGAAATCACTTCAGCAATGAACCCCGAGGAATCCGAAACCTCATCTTCACCCATCAAGAAAATTTGTAACGGTGCCGAACAATCATCACACGTCTTAGGTCTTAAGTGGGACCATGTGAAAGACACATTGGTTGTTAGCAGAGGCGTGGATCGTCCTCTCGATAAAGCAATAACTCAACGAACCGTCTTGAGTTTCGTCTCTTCTGTGTTTGACCCTGTTGGGTTAGTAGCTCCATACACAGTTAGGGCCCGTCTTTTACTGAAAGATATTTGGAAAATCAGTGGTCAAAGTTGGGACGACGAATTGCCAGAAGACATAAGAGATAAGTTTCTCGAGTGGCACTCCGGTCTCCCTCTCTTAGGGCAATTGACCATTCCCCGTTGTTACTTCACAGAGCCTGTTAATCAAATTGAGCTCCACATATTCGGTGATAGCTCGCAGGACGTTTTCTGTGCTGTTGAATTTTTGCGTGCGCGACTCGCGAGCTCGCATAAAACACAAATATCCTTCATCTTTGGTAAAGCTCGCGTTGCGCCCATGAAAGCGCTATCTATACCGAAGCTAGAGCTTCAAGCTGCTCTGCTCGCCACACGACTAAAAGATGATATACTGACCGCACTTACCGTCTCTATTAATCATGTCTTTATGTGGACAGATAGTACAACAGTTTTGCAGTGGCTAAACTCCACTGAAAAATTACTTGTATTCGTCGCTAATCGTGTCGGCGAAATCCTCGAGTCGACCACTATTGATGAGTGGCACCATGTTCTGAGCGGCGATAATCCAGCTGATACCGGTACGCGGGGGATTTCTTCGGAAGCCCTCAAGGATAGCAGCTGGGTTATTGGTCCGAGCATTCTCAGGACTACTGATTGGCCGTTTATACCCGACGAACGTGTAATCAATAAAATTCGTTTGAAGGGTCCTTCTTGTGATGTTGATAATTGCTTGGAAACATCATCTTCCTTCGTCACCGATGTCACATCAATCAAACATCCCGAACACGGGTTCAGTTGGGAAAGGTTCAGTTCCTTTACAAGATATAAGCGAGTAGTCGCTTTTATGTTGAGGATGTTGCCTTCACATAAGCATTTTCGTGGAAAGGACTTACGAATCACCGACCCCACTGAACTTGATATTGCAGAAAGCAAACTGATTCATCTTGCTCAGATGGAATCCTTTCCCGTTGAGTTAAAAACACTCACCGCTGGCAAACCTATTAAGAGTAGTAGTAAAATTGCCACATACTCGCCATTTATCGGTCCCGCTGGAATCATTCGTTCCACCGGACGGATTGTGCGCTTAGTGAATACCGAGTTTGATACTAAGCACCCAATAATACTCGACGCCCGACATACTTTAGTTCGTTTGTTGGCCCGCAGCCTCCACCATAAGCATTTTCATCAAGGATTAGATTACATGCGCTCCGTTTTAAATATGAAATATGCAATACTTGGGTTGCGTCAACTACTGCGGTCTATCGAAAATCAATGTGTAACATGCCGTAAACGCAAAGCAAGCACCATCCAGCCAATTATGTCCGATTTACCGGTCGAACGTCTCGGATACAAGCAACCACCCTTCAATCATACGGGTGTGGATTACTTTGGACCGCTTTACGTTCCGGTTCGCAGAAGCACGGAAACAAGATGGGGATTTCTTTTTACTTGCCTCACCACCAGGGCTGTACACCTTGAGATTGTACCGTCTCTGGACACCAGTTCCTGTGTCATGGGCATTGAACGGTTCGTTGCGCGCCGTGGTACGCCAAGCACAATCTGGTCGGATAATGGCACGAACTTCGTTGGTGCGGAAAAGGAATTACTTGCCTGCATCAAGAGCGGGAATGGCATGACTCCGACCATTTTTGCACACAAAGCTGTTACTTGGAAATTTAACCCGCAGGCGCACCCCATCATGGCGGCTCCTGGGAACGCCTCGTCCGAAGCGTGAAGCGCGTGCTGTACGATATCCTAGGCAGTAGGCGAGTCACTGAAGAGGCGTTAGGAACAACACTCTGCTTATTTGAACAGGCTTTGAATTCGAGGCCAATCACTCCCGTTAGTACCGATTCACGTGAGTTAGAAGCGTTAACCCCAAACCATTTTTTGCTTGGACAACATGCCACAAGCTTTCCTTCGCTTTTACCCGGGGAGCACTTCGATCACAAGAAAAGGTACGTGCGAGCGCAGTCATATGCTAACGCGATTTGGTCTCGTTGGCTTCGAGAATATGTTCCCTCGCTGAATAAGCGTGTCAAGTGGCACACTCATTCTGACTTCACTGTTAAAACAGGCGATCTCGTGTGGGTGATTGAGCCCGATAGTCCGCGTGGGTACTACCCTCTCGCCCGAATCGTCAAGCTAAACTACGGACAGGACGGTTGCGCCCGATCCGCCCTTGTCAGGACCGCAACCCGTGAAGTCACGCGGCCGATCGTTAAGCTCGCTGCAGTTCTTCCTTTTTCAGGGGGGGAGGATGTTGCAGCGCAAATATAAAACAATAGTATAAATGCATAAAACTGAACCAAAATGTTACAACAATAAGCGCCGTTGGCCGAGTGGCCTAAGCTACAATAACGCCCAGTATATAGACTTTACAGTTGACGTAGGTTCGAGTCCCCCACCTGCCCATGTTTTAATATACTAAAAAAGGGGGTTATATCCTATTTTATCTGTTTTGTTGATTCTAATTTGGTTCAACCTTGATTAAGGCTGACCGCTAAAAAAGAGCAATTTGTCTCAAGGACATTACCGACCGGTTCTTGTGGCTAGCTTGCACCAATTTGTTTATTGAAACTGTTGGATTGTTGAAATTATGAAAGTGAGTTGTGTGAAATGTTGGCTTTTATAAATTAGTCACGATGAATGTATGTATTGCCGAGAATACTACGAGTTAAAACAATTATTTGCCGTTTTATACAGTTTTGGAGATTAGAGCGAGCATAGATTGTAATTTGTCCGTGACTTTGTGCAACTTAATTATGCAAAAAAGACAGTCACAACGAGGTTAAACTCTGGATTGTGAGTTAACTCGCAAAAAGACCTTTTGATCTTTCTTTCTTTTTGTATTTCGAGCAAAAATAAAAATTTGTAGCATGTTTAATGGCTTCTTTTTGGGTTCCCGAGAACTAAACATACCAATTAGGCGCTTAAACAGCGTGCATAATTTAATCTCGCAAGGATTTCTTTTTCAGATTAATCAAATAGATTGACTTTTCTGTGCCTGCTCAATTTCAAAACAATTTAGAAAGGTTTAAGAAAGATTTCAGTCTTAAGTTGAAAGTTCAATTTTCAACTCTGTCTCGATGAAATTTCTTTGTTTCAACAATTTAAAATGTTGTCCGATAAACTTGTTAAACGATATTGAATTCTCCGTGTTTGAACCATCAAAAAAATTGGGTTTTAACTATTTAAAGAGCGAACCAAATATCTCGCGCTTTTTCAGAGATCAATTTTTCATACATCTTCAAGCCCTTAGCTTCAAAACATTTTTCATTTAGCAGCGATCTGAATTGCGTTTTTTTTCAGTCAAAAAGAACCGATAAATCGCCGACAAAACAGCAAACCCAAAAATTCAAAGAACTCTTTCTAACGAAAAGTTTCAGCTAGAAAGATCAGAAGAATTTCAAAAAAATTTTAGACGATGTCCGATAAATTTGTCAAAATCTATAAAAGAGCAGTTTAGCTTGTTAACTGCATTCAGGATCGATGACGCTGAAAGAATACTCGTTTTGGTATTTACAGACAGTTGTAAAAAGTTGGAACAGACGAAATTATTTAAAAAATGCAAATGACCTATTTCAGACAATATTTGCATTCAAAAATCTAATATTTCATACATTAAGTATGTCCAAGATTACCACAAAAACTAAATTTGCAAGCAAAAATTACTCAAAGTTTGAAAGTTGCTAGTTTTAATTTTAATTTTTCTGTCTGTTCCAACTTTTTGCTACTAATTATACTTGAGAAAAAGAAGCATACCTGGTCTGCGAATGGGATGTCTCCAAGAGGATGAGTGCCATTTGTCACTAGGTAGTAGGCCACTATGCCGAATGCGTAGATGTCAGACTGGATCGAGTACCTACCTTTGATCTGCTCTGGCGCCTTGTAACCTACAAATGTCAATCCAGCTTTTTGATTTGCTGACTTTTTTCGATTTGCTGACTTTTTGATTTGCTGACAATCCAGCGTTTTGCTTTGCTGAAAATTATCTATTAACCTCAGAAAACCAATTGTTAAAAATCTTTCAAAAAAAAGTTTTTTTTTCGGGAAATTACCTATTGTGCCGACGGAGGAACTTAAGTGCATTGGTCCAACATGGCACGCGATTCCATAGTCTGCAATTTTGGCATTGATCTTGGCTTCTATAACAACAATTAGTAGCAATAAACAAGTCAGAAGTTGATTGTGAAACTGCCACTATGGTATTAAGGATGAGCGGGACGATTCGTCTCAGGGGTTCGATTGACATCCTGGACAACCAAAGGGTCCCCGCTTAGTACAAAATACGCCATCCGTTTTGGTCAACCAACCCTATTTTTTTATTTTACCCCAATCTATTTTTCAGAAAAAATGTTTCTTGTATCGTTTTCGTATTCTGAAAAAAAAGACATTTCTCATGTTATTTTCTTGCAACATTACTCTCACCCGTTGAAAGAGAAAATATCAAGATATTTTCCGGTTTCAAATCCCTATAGATGATTTTGGAAGCATGCAATACAGACAGGCCCTGGGCCACTTGGGAGAGTATTTTCTGCTTGATGCTCCTGCCTCTAATAAGTCCGGTTGAGATCACACTGGCGAGACTTCCGTGGGGAGCTAGTTCCAAAACAAGTGCCCTGAACAGACAAGAAAAGTTAGATTTTTTTGAAAAATTTGTTCATCCTTTTTTGGTCTTGTTCGATTGAAAAATTTTAATTTGGTCGAAATGGGGTCTTTATAGTGATTAAGGAGAGCTCAGAAAATGATTTTGGTCGACCTAAAAATAAGTCGACAAAATTTTCAATTTTTTTTTTGAAAATCTGCCCCCCCCCCCTCGAAAAAATCCTAGATCCGCCCCTGGTTTAATTAGAGATTACCAGCTGTTTTTTTCCTTGAATATTTCTGGAATCTGTTCAAAAATTAGCATTTACTACGTGACAGTTTTCCTTTCGCTTTTTAGTTTTTCTAGTCTCTGAAAATTTATAAAGTTTTCCTACTTTTTATGATTCTTTTCATGACCCAATGATGTAAAATTTTAAAAAATTTCTAAATTTTTTTTCAATTTTGATTATTGTATAGATATACGGTAATAAAAATTATTGAAACATGTTTTCTATGTTAAAATAATTAATGTTTTTATCAATCTTATTTCTATATTAGATATTAATAGTTTGTAATATGGTAATATACTATCAGTAAAAATTATAATATGGCGACTATCAATTCCAATTTGTTTCCTATTTTCTCACGTCTGGGGGGACAGCGTGAATCCAATGGCCGACAGAATGGAAGGGTGTCTCAATCTCGTCATCACTTTCAGTTCCTTCCTCAAGTTAGACAATCTACGCATGATCATCTGCACGTCCGAGCTGTTCGACCCCCCAAACACCTAACACATGTGAACAAGTAAAAGGTCCGTAAATTACAGTTAATGCCAAATTGTTGGCAATATTGGTGACCTTGAGCGATTTAATCGGTCAAAAACAGTAGCATTTCAGGTTAATTAGTTTTTTCGACATGGTTTTATGTGTGGAAATCAGTAAAAAACAGAAATCCGACGTCAAAATGAGCAGTTTTAGGTTAATTAACTTCGTTCAGATTCGTTGACCGAAAAGGATATTGCCAATAAGAAGAAAAACAAAATTCAAAAAAAAACATATTTTTCAGTTAAGAAAATTCAAAAATTCAATTTTTATCACTGACATTACGAGGCCAAACTGTGCATTCTCTGCGTTGTAAGCGGAATCCGCAACAGGCCAAAATCAGATTTGTCGCGGAATCCGCAACATTGCTCTTTTTCTTTGATCTTCTATGCTGTTTTGGATTCCACAAACAAATACTTAAATCACAGTACCGCTCAAAATCGCTCAAAAAATAGGCGAATTTCGGAATCCGCAACTGTATTTGCGGAACCCAGAACAGTTAGTGGAATCCACAAATAAATGATAAAACATTTGTATCGTTAAATTGAGCTGTTGCGGAATCCACAACTGTAAATGGAATCCGCAAATTGTAAGTGGAATCCGCATTTTGTTTGCGGATTCCCTTTACATATATTTATATGTGTAGTAGCCTTTAAAATGATATCTTTTAAATACATGATTTGATTTCACTAGAATATAAATTTACTAGAATAGACCAGTGTTTGGGATTAATGAAATCCCAATTACTGACCAGTATTTGCGATCGATGAAATCCCAAATACTGAACTAATTTGACGATTTGCTATGCGTTGGGTTTCTAATCACTCTCAACCTAATGACTCCAAATAATGGATGTATTCCATATTTATTCCAGATTATTCCAGTTTTTGGGATTTCATCAATCCCAAAAACTGACCAGTATTTGGGATCGATGGAATCCCAAATACTGACCTAATTTGGCGATATGCTGTGTGTTGTGTTTCCATACACTCTCAACCCAATGATTACAATTACTGCATTTATTCGGCGTTATGCTTCCAAAATCAGTATTTGGTATTGACGCAATCCCAAATACTGACCTAATTTGTCGATATGCTGTGTGTTTCATACACCATCAAATCAATAATGGAGTTACCACAGGCCACAGGCCTCCTGTTTTTTTTTTAACCAGCGGAGTTACCACAGGCCACAGGAAACACAGTTGAATTACACATATTAAACTCTACCGCTTTATCGACCGTTGTTACGGCGAAGTCAGCGGATGGGGGACCCCAGGGAAGTGTGGCATTTTGGTGGAGCCACAGCTGTTGTAGGAACATCGGAAGCAAGGGTTCCATTGGGTGATGGTGGTAAAAATTGTTTCGTCGGAATATAACTTTGATGCGACAATAACTATAACGCAAGTTGGTGCATATGCAAACTCAGTATTGAACAAAATTCGGAATCCACTTACAGTTTGCGGAATCCACTTACATTTTGCGGAATCCACTTACAGTTGCGGAATCCAGAACAACTAGCTATATTTGCTTGTTGCGGAATCCACAACAAAACAAATGTGCCGACAAAATTTACGTTACAGGTATATGTATGCGGAATCCACTGAAATTTTGTTTGTGGAATCCACTTACATTTTAAAACATCATTTAAGACTTGTCTCTGGAATCCAGGAACATGCAGACACAAAATTGTGATCCTATCCAGTGCACAGTTTGGCCTCGTAATGGATATAAAATAACTGTAAAGGGTTTGGGAAGTTTGCCAGGACAACTTAGAAAAAAAACTTTAAAAAATTGGACAATTTCGAATTAAATTGATAAAATCAAACACACCTTCACTGCAACATCACTGTCTCCGACCGATACTCTGAAGACAGTCCCAAAGCCCCCGGATCCCAGACGAGACACTTTGGTGTCGGCGTGGTCCAGTTGCTAGAAACACAATTAAACCAGTAGCGGATTTTGACTGCTTGAGGGCCAAAAGTAACCATTTTAAGATATCCATTTTTTGGCTGTGTGACCTCAAACTCGTCCTTTGGCGTCCATTTATACTAGTTTTACTCGTTTTGGGGGGAGGACGCGACGAAAAATGTATTTTTTTTGTCAAAACTTTCCAAAAAGCGCCTTTTTTGGCCTGTTTTCTTACAAAAAAATTGCCTGAAAATTGGGTCAAACAGGACCTGACTTGTGTTTTGGGACCGCTCGGAAAATAAATTTGGTCAATCTTGAAAGAAGTCGGCAAATTTTTCGAAAATTGATTAGATCCTCTCCTGGAACAGTTAGAACGTGTTACATTACTTATGGTCTCAAAGTCCATCATATATCCCTACAAAAATTTTTCAATAAAAACCGTCTTCTAAATTTGACAAAACGTAGCAGAATTGTTAAACGAGAAATGCTCACGTCAATGTTCAGTCGGCGACTTTGTTCATTCAAATCACTTAGCGACAAATCAGGAGCCAGATCCAAAATCGAAATAGTCTTCTCTGGATGTCGAGTACAAGTGACCCCGTAGTTATCCTGTGCCACTCGGATGGCGAGGTCTTCGATTGGAAACAACGTCGGCAGACTCCTCGACTCCGGATCTCGACTTCGGATGCAAATTGGACAGACTGCTTGAATATCGAAGAGGTTTTTGTTGGAGTTGCCCAAGTGGGGCGAGATACCATGGAAAGACTCATTGATGACAAAGTCGAAATGATCGATTAGGTTTCCCAGAATCTGACGTCCAGGGACTGTCATGGGGACTGTAATGACAATATTGGTTCGCTCTTCTCCCTATAGCAAATAAGGATACAACAAATTAGCAGAAAGTTTTCATTAGAACCTCATAGTTGATTAAATTAAGATCAGTTCCAAGAATTGCTGGGAAAAACGGACATTACAGGGAGTGTTTAACCTATTGCATGGTGAAGGCGCCCGAGAAATTTTTGTTAAATCGGATCTTTCGTTAACATTTTTTATAAAAAAAGTTTAACAACTGAAAAGTTCGGTGGACGTTCACACCTTTTTCACTTCTATCGCAGACGCCACAACCGGATCCCTCAAAACACACAATTCAACGTAATCTGAGAAATAATCGATCGTGACTGGAACCTTGGGTACATTTTTACTTTCCAGTTTTGACTCATGTGGCAAAATATCCTGCTTTTCAGAGTAGATTTTAGCTAGGAAAAGAGGCATCAAGCTTTCAGGCAGAAATAACATGGAGTAATTTCGCTGGATTACGTAATCATTATGCAATATTTCCATGTGAGACACGTATGACTCATGTTTACGAGGTAATTGATTCGGAATCAGCCATTTTTGCTCGTCAATTGGGATCAAAATACAAAACTTTTCCATGAGGCGAATAAAAATTTTGAGTAGGGTTATTTCAGGTCCATAAATGATGCACAATCCCTCGTATGTAATGACGGAATTTCGGATAATTTCTCTAGCTCTGGGGTTCGAAACTAGGATGCGAGCCATTAATGAGCATAACCACTGCGGGTCCAGAAAATATATGTCAGGCTGTGCTCGTGAAAAAATCATATCAGGGAATATCAAAACGGTGCCTGTGCTGTTCATAAACTTCATGGCCAAGTGGATGTCATGGCCGCTTAAATCCAACTTACTTTTCCGAATCAAGTTCGAAATTGTGAGGGAATCGATTACACTTTTAATGCCAGTTTTATCTCGTTTAATTCTATCTTTGTAATTAATCACAGCTTTTTCAAGGTTTTGATACACTAAAGGTATTCTGCGTCCCATAAAATATTCTCCTTCGATTTTAAACTCGGCTAATTTTGTTCGAATCAGACTTCGTAAATTTGCGACCGAATTTTTTTCTGAAAGTGTTGCCGCCGTTTCATCGCTTGATTTCAGACCAACAAACGCGTACGTGTAACGGTGAGTCTGACTAAAAAAATGGTCGCTGAAAAACTCGTAACAGAAATGTTTTCTTCGAGTTTCTTCGTTTTCGTCTTGAATCAAATCAACGTGAGTTCCTACTATAATTGTTGCCGCGTTCGGACCCCGAGCATGAATGTTGTACAGCCACGAAGAAACTAAGTTTAGTTCTTGGTTTAAATTTTCAGCAGCCAAATTGTAAAACACCATATATAACGCTTCGGTTGAAGCAAAAACTTGATGAGTCGCAAAAAACTCCTCTTGCCCGGCAAAATCCCAGCAGTTTAGGGAAAAATCAGCGGGTTTGTTCGACTTGCGGTCGATTGCTTTCATCGTCCATTGGGAAATTTCAATTCCGAGGGGCTCCGAGTTTTGTGGCGGGACGTTTTCAGGCGGCTCATAGTTGTCGTCTATCAATTTTCGAAGAATTGTCGTTTTGCCTCGGCCCGAATGCCCCATAAGTAGCATTTTAACAGCGTAATAACTTGTTGAATTTCTAGCTCGCTCCTGCAGGTATTTCATTAAAGCAGTTGTATTTCCTCTTTGAACAAAAGCGGGCATATTGACTAAATTTAACCCGAGTTTATAAAACCTGCGCAACGTTTCGCATTTGTATAAATCAGAAGGTATTCGTTTGATTTTTGGATTATGACTGACATCCAGGGTTTCGAGTTTTTTCAGGTAACATATTTCATTCGGAATCGCTTTGAGGGCGTTATAGTCTAAATAAAGATCGGTTAATTGGTCAAAGTTTGTCAAATCGTTGCTTAAATCAATCGATTCAATTTGGTTGAAACTGCATCGAAGCCTAGCTAGACCTTTACTCTTCCAAAACGAAGGCTTCGGAAGCCCGATCAAATGATTGCTACTTAAGTTCAAATCTCGCAACCAGGGAAGATTAAGAATGAAATTAGGAATGAATGGTTCTTTTTCAATTGCCAAACTATTTTTAGATAAGTCTAACACGGTCAAATTTGTCAGAAGGGACGCGCTGTCTTCAGGCAAGTCTGTGAGAGCGTTTCCTCTCAGACTCAGCTGTTTCAAATTTGCGAAAGAGGACAGAAAATTCATGGGAATCGATTTCAGTTTATTAGAAGAAAAGTCCAAAATTTGGATTTTATTTGGAATACACAAATCAGGAAGTTTCGACAGACCATTTTGCTCCATGTTCAAATCAGTGATTTCAGGAAACCATTTGGAGAATTGCTCTGGCCATTCTTTAATCTGATTGGACGAAATTTTAAGAATTTTCATCGATGAAGATGACCTGTTATTTTTTTCAGACTCCGGATCTGAAAACTTTGACAGGAAATTGTGGGAAAGGTCAACCTCTTCAAGTTTTTTGCAGAGAAATATTTCGAACGGAAATTCCGTGAATGAGTTTTCATTTAAACTTAAACTCTCCAAATTTGTCAAATTTTTCATCAAACTTGCTGGGAGTTTCGATAACTTGTTCCGACTTAGAAAGAAGTTCTTTAGCGATGCAAAACATAGAGTTAATTTGCCGCTCATGGCAATTGAATCGAGGGAGGTGATTTGGTTTTCACTCAAAGCTAAAGTTTCAATTTTGAATCTGTGATATTTTTGAAACCCAGTCAAAGCCTCATGTCTCGGCTGTCTGCAACTGTTGGCCTCTGCGACAACATTTCCGGTTCTAGTGCTAATTGCTCTCGTCAAAAACCTCCCAAAGATATCTTGACTATCAGTCGAGAAGTAACTAATTTCACGCTCGGAAGTTGATGGTGATGTTTCATGATACGTCTTGAATTTGAAGTAGTTTAAAGCGTCGGCTTTCATGCGTTCCATTTCAATGAAATCATCAAAAGAAGGATATACCGGAAGCTCTTTTCCTCGATGACTTGACCCGAGATCCGACGTCTCAGATTCCGACGACGACAAGGTCCACTCCCCTTGGACTGGGTTGTCTTCAGAGCCAGACCCGGCAGTAGACGACTGGATTCGGTTTCTCCTTTCATCCACGCTTTCTCGCGTTTCGGCAATTCCGTTCATTAAGGTCTCGGAGTTTACGGTATTGCTTCGAGAATGTTGCTTCTGGTATGGGAGGCTGCTCGGATTGATGTAAGTCATTCCGTGAGCCGGGGTTAGTTTTCGCCGAAAGGGACCAGTATTACGTCTTGAATTTTGACCATTATTAGTTTTAACGAGACCATTTTTCTGAAAGTTTTCCCGACAGTTTTCACTGTTTTGGTCAAAGACAGTAACGAACGTTTTGAAAAGCCATTCGGGTTTCGGGTTCCCGAGTCCAAGTCGTTCCCAGACGACACTACCCGTTTCGCGACTTGTGCCGTGACGACTCAAGATGATTGCAATCATCTCGTCTCGATTTTGGTAGTTTTCGTTTTTCAAGACAGTTTCCAAGCATATCTCGACGTCTTTTGTCGCGCCGTTTTGAAGCAGAAATGAAGTCAGCTCTAAATTTTCGTTGGCAACAATTCGGCTCAAGCATGACTCGCCGTTTTTTTCGTAGTTAACATCAGCTCCTAAGAGAACTAAAGCTACCACTGATTTGCCGTAATTTTTGAAACAAGCCAGGAACAAAAATTCATTCAGAATATTACCTTTGCATTTTTTCTTCAATGTTAAGAAGAAGTTTTTCTGAAGGCATTCTAACTCTGAATCGGTTGAGTTTAGTGTCTCGTGTATTTCTAGCGAGTGCAGAATTTTGTCGATAATTTTGAAGTCTATCACGAATTGATAGAAGTATAAGTTTGTATCTGAATATATTTTCAAAGACAAAAATACTTCTTTCTTAATCTGTAAATTATCCTTATACTCGCTTAAATTGTTGGTCAACAAATGGCAATAGTTCATGAAGGTTTCGTCACGGATTTCGACCTTGCGGATTTTCAATGCAAGACTATTAATAAGGCGTAAGCCTTTAACTTGAACTTCATGTTTTTCGAGGTTAACTGAAAGCGCTTTTATGCACGGTGACAACATTTTGGCAGCATTTATCCCGGCACTTTTGAAAACGGAAACATAGCGACTAAGAATATTTAGAGTATAAAACACCATTTGAGGACTGTCGTTGCAAAAGTGTTCCAGAATTCCTAGAGTTAACTCGTGAATGTTGTAGTCCAGACTTTCGTGAATTGTGGAGTTGCATTGGAACCAAACGTCCAAAATCAGCACGACTTCCAGCGTGAACTTGGGATCTTGCGGGTAAAGTTTGAAAATCTGTGCCCACTTTTGTAAATTGTTGTAATTTGTAAACTCGTACGCTATTTCTAAGCTTTCGTCGCTCAAGCCTCGCACCGCTCGCAAAACCGAAGTCAAAACCTGCAGATAATCATAATGCTGAAACTTTTCGGCTAATTTCAACAGCATCAAATCCACATTTTTTGCCATCAAAAATCGTTTAAAAGTTTTGTCGTAGTTGTAACTCGAACAAATTACAAAAATAGTCTCACACACGCAAACTATAACTTGATAGTTTTCTTGGTAAATTTCCAAAGCCGGTACTAAAATGTTCATTTCTTCGGGTTGAAAAAGATAGAAGTTTCTGGGTTTTCGTTCACGGCAAATTTTGTGTTCCAACAAGATTGCCGTTTGTAAACACAAACTCATTACTTCACTTGGTAACTTCCCAGAATTTAGAGTCAGAACTACAAGCTCTCTATAGAATGGCAAATTCTCCATATCGCCATTTGATTTGAGCAAAACTTCGCAAGTAAGTCGAAAAATTGACTTCAGTTGAACTGCGTCATCAAACGTTTCTTGTGGAAAAGAATATATTATAATTTTGGTTGACTGAATAAATTTTAAAGCCAACGCTACACTTCTTGTACAACTAGGAAAACTGAAAATTGAGTAAAGATAGTTCAAAATTAACAATTTCTGCTCATCAAAGCCGCTGTCAGTTCTCGTTTCTAACTTTTCCAAGCTGTGTTTTACAACATTAAAGTCAAGATGTTTTTTCAGGGTCAGAATTTTCAGCGCGTGACTAAATATTTCAGGGTCGTTCTTACCCAGTTGATGCAAAATAAGATGCTCGTCTGCAATTCTGTACGAAATCTCGTCGCCTCCGGGCTGACTTTGCTGACCGTTTAACAACTTTTCTATGAAATGAAGACAAAGTTTCAACATATTTCTGCAGTTTTGCGAGGGCGATTCGTAACTTCGGCAAATTTGATATAAGAACTCTAGAACATCGTTTTCAAACATGTACTTCAAGTTGTCGGAGCATTCGGCTAGCTTGAAAAGCACTTGCAAAGCTCGTTGGGTCACCAATTTTGGCGACTCTTCGGCAGTCAGAACCTTATATGTGGTGTGTAAAAGCATGAACTTGTTTTGAAGGTAACACAAACCGTCTCTTTGGTTCAAAATAACAGCAATTAATTCCAGACATTCCAGACATTTGGATGAGTCATTATAGCTGCTGAATTTGATGAAGTTTGTCAGAATTGCGTCCAATTTAGCGGGTGTTTGAGACAAGTAGTTGGCGTATTCGGCGTCTAGACGACACTGGTCGAGGAGTTTTCGGGTATCGTCGGCAAAGGAATCCTCGCGTTCGCGAGTAGTGGTTATGGCTCGTAATCGGTCCATATTTGCTTTGCTTGCTTGATGTTAAGCACCCGTTGAAAAAAATTACTTGATCAAATTTCAGGCAATCGGTTTGCTATAAAAACTTGAAAGTCATAAGATAATTTAAACTAATGTATAGATTTGAAAGAATATGGCAAAAAGTTGATTCGAATATTGCACTTTGGCAATCTTTCGCAAGAGTAAATTCCTGGTCAGGGTAGATCCAATGTGAGATCCAGCTTGACATCATGTCATCATTTTGGGTTACGATTTGTTGTTTAATACGATATTGAAGAATTTGAATTAAGAAATAACAACAATGTGTGAATGACGATGTTTGGAATTTGGTTGAATATTGACCAATGACTTAGATCTTGATCTGAACCGAACCCTCCCCTAATATTTATGATCCCTATCAAGTATTTGACTATGACGATGACCTTTATCAAGTCATGCTTTCAGAAACTCTGTGGTAAAAATCATTTTTTATTAATTTTCTTATCAGATTTATATTTTTTATATGTATATATAAATCTGAACCAAAAATAAATATAAAAAAATGTGCTCAAAAATTTTCAAATAAATATACCCAGCAGTAACATATTATGCTTTGCTATGCTAATTTTTTTCTGCCGGAGGATTTGAAAAAAAGATTTTAGCATATAATAACGGCCACTCAATTAAAAATATTGAAAGCATTTTTTTTGCATCTATTTGTATTAAAAAAGTTGATTGGAATAATTTTTGGCTCAAATATTCAGGCCTTTTTGATGCTCTTTCAGTATTTATTTAGATTTTTGGATTCCAAAATTCATCAAGTTTTCTTAATATCAAAAAAATGCTTAGAATTTTTCTTTTTATCAGACTAAAAGGTAATTTAATGAGACTCCTAATTTGATTCTCCTAATTTAATCATAAGACAAATTATATTTTGACTTTAAAAACTGCATTATTTTTTGAATTAGTTTCCGCCGCTTTTAACTAAACAAAATTGAAAAAAGTAAGAGTTGAAAATAAACTTTATGAAACTTTTAAAACTTAACTTGCTATTGCAACCATTTTCACAAAAAAAATCGACGAAAAATTTTCTTTCAATTTTTACAAATCAGTTTTGAAAATCCAAAACAAGTAAATTTCCAGAAAACAAGCGTTACTTGCTCGAAATGAACAAAATCTAAAAAAAATTCATACCAATTTTTCTCAACACTTGGACATTTTCTGAAGATTTTTCATTGTCGTTCGATTTACAACTTGGTCTTTAATATGATACATCACATTACTTGTGGTACCTGATTTTGTTTGAAAAAAAACTAAAATACACAGGAATACAGAGTTAATCCCATTTTCAATAGTCGGAACAATAAAAGTACTGAAAGTGTGCGCCTCAATCTCCACGGATTGTAAAAATATCGGGTTTCAACAATTTAATTCGAGCACTTTATCGGCAAATATCTCGGTAACAATAATACTCAATTTATCGGTAAGAATGATATTTTTACCAAACTTTTGTATTGTTAACATCGGTCACATCGGCACAAAAAACTCCATAACTCAAAGCAAGCTGCAAAAATGGCCAGTATTTGTCCTTGAGACAAATTGCTCTTTTTAAAGGTCAGCCTTAATCAAGGCTGAACCAAATTAGAGCGAAAAGACGGTTAAAATCGGTTTTGGGGGGGACCGAACCTGGTTACGGAGCATCCCATCAGGTTCGGTGCACATTCGAGTTCTAGAAAGGAAATGACCTAGTCGGGATTCGAACCGGCGCCGAACCCGCCGGGACGCACCATGTATACGCTTGGCTACTGTCCCTGTATGCATTTACATTTATATGCATTTGTACTATTGTTTTATATTTGCGCTGCAACATCCTCCACCCCTAAACAAGGAAGAACGGGAGCGAGCTTTACGGTCGGGCGGGTCAGTTCGCTTGTAACGGTCTTTATGTCGGCGGATCGCGCGCATCCGTCTTTGCCGTAGTGTAGTTTAGCAATACGGGCGAGTGGGTAATGCCCACGTGGGCTGTCGGGTTCGACTACCCAAACCAAGTCGCCGGTTTTCAGTGTGACATCCGAATCATTATGCCACTTTGCTCTCTTGTTGAGAGATGGTACATATTCACGCAGCCAGCGTGACCAAACTGCGTTAGCGTACGATTGTGCTCCGGCGTAACGCTTTTTATGATCAAAGTTATCTTCGAAACTTAACGACGGGAAGCTAGCTGCGCTGTGACCGAGAATGAAGTGATTCGGGGTGAGTGCCTCTAGGTCGTGCGGATCGGAACTGACCGGAGTGATCGGTCTTGCGTTAAGTAATTGTTCAACTAGGCAGAGCGTTGTTCCTAGAACTTCCTCAGTTAATCTCCTGCTGCCTAATATGTCGTACAACACTCGCTTAACACTTCTAACTAGCCGCTCCCAGGCGCCACCGTGATGAGGGGCACTGGGCGGGTTAAACTTCCACCTAACGCCTTTGTGGACGAAAACGGCCGGGGTGACTTTGTTCCAATTTTGGACACAGGATAGGAGCTCCTTTTGGGCACCAACAAAATTCGTGCCATTGTCAGAAAGAATGGTTTTGGGGGTACCTCGCCTTGCAATAAATCGCTCTACGCCCATGCACCAGGAACTAGTATCGAGAGATGGAACCAACTCGATGTGAACTGCTCGAGTCGTGAGGCAGGTAAATAGGAAACCCCATCTCTTTTCGGTACTTCGGCGTATTGGCACTTGAAACGGGCCAAAGTAATCAACACCTGTGTTGGAGAAAGGAGGCTGCTTGTAACCCAGTCTTTCAATCGGTAGGTCAGACATAATGGGCACAACTGTTTTTGCTTTGCGCTTACGGCATGTTATGCAAGTATTTGCGATGTTCCCAAGTAACCAGCGCAACTTCAGAACAATGTATTTCAACTGAACTACAGCACGCATGTAATCCAACCCCTGATGTGCATGTTGAAAGTGCATATGCCTAATCAACATATGAGCATCCAGTATTATTGGATGTTTGCTATCAAAGTCGGTATCAACAAGACGGCTGATACGTCCAGTTGAACGCAGGATGCCAGCTGGGCCGATGAACGGAGAATATTTAGCAATCCGACTTTTCTTTGTTATCAGTTTATCGGACTGAAGTATTTTCACTTCGGCAGGAAATGATTCGGACTGAGCGAGATAAATGAGCTTCTGCTCGGCAACATCTAACTCGGACGGGTCGGTTATTTCCAGCGTTTTTGTACGGAAGTGTTTATGCGATGGTAGCACACGAAGCATAAATGCTAAAACACGTTTGTACTTTACAATTGAGCTGAATTTATCCCAATTTTCAAACAGACGGATCGACGGCGCTTTCTCAGATGAAGCATCAACAACAAACGTAGATGCAGTCTCAAGGCATGTATCAATGTCACAGAGTGGGCCTTTTAATTGGATCTTTTTGATGACATCAGTGTTCGGCTTGAATGGCCAATCACATGTCCTCAATATACTAGGGCCTCTAACCCAGCTGCTATCCTTGAGGGCTTCCGAAGAAATCCCTCGTGTGCCGGTATCAGCTGGGTTATCACCACTGAGTACATGATTCCATTGATCAATGGTGGTGGACTCCAAGATTTCACCAGTGCGGTTTCCAACAAACACAGGAAATTTGTTGCACGAGTTAAGCCACTGGAGAACGGTGGTAGAATCAGTCCACATGAATACATTGCTTACTTTGAAAGTAAGCGCTTTCAAAATCTCTTCTTTGAGTCGAGTCGCAAGCAGAGCAGCCTGAAGCTCTAACTTGGGAATGGAGAGCATCTTCATAGGCGCTACACGGGCTTTCCCAAATGCAAAAGCTAACTCGGTCTTTTGCGATTTAGCAAGTCGGGCTCGGAGAAACGATACGGCGCAAAAAACGTCCTGCGAACTATCACCGAACGTGTGAAGTTCACAGCGGTCGAACGGTTCGGTAAAGTAGCTACGAGGTATCGTCAGAGTACCTAATAGTGGAAGTCCTGAGTGCCAATCTAGAAATTGTTGTTTAATTTCCTCTGGGAGATCATCATCCCACTTTTGACCACTGATTCTCCATATGTCTTTTAGTAAAAGGCGCGCTTTCACAGTATATGGAGCTACCAGTCCTATTGGATCAAAAACTGAGGAAACAAAACTCAACACGGTGCGTTGAGTAATTGCTATATCTAGTGGTCGATCAACACCTCTACTTACTACTAGGGTATCTTTTACATGATCCCACCTGAGACCAAGAACATGCAACGATTAGTCTGGACTCTTACAAATATCCTTAACTGACGGTTTGGACTCACGGTTGTCCGGATTAAGAGCGGTTGTAACTTCGGGTACATTGCTAACAAACTTTGTCAGGTTAAACCCACCGAATTTGAGCATTGCGACTAAGTCTTTACTTAGGCTAAGAGCGTCAGCGGTATTTTCGAACGAGTCAAGATAGTCGTCCATGTAAAACTTCTGGACAACGGCTGAAGCGGCTTCGGGGTATTCAGCTTGATTTTCAGAAGCAGTTTTTTGTAGCGCGAAATTCGCACAAGTTGGCGAATCACGAGCGCCAAAAATATGACGGGTGTATTGGTGAACCACCACACTTGAAGTGGGGTCCTCCCGCCACAAAAAACGGAGAGACGGTTGATCTCGCGCAAGTACTCCAACTTGTAAGAACATACCTTCTATGTCCGCTGAGACGGCGTACTTGTGTTGACGGAACCTCAACAGTACAAAAATAAGATTTTGAAGGAGATCCGGGCCAACCAAGAGAGATCTATTTAAGGAAGTGCCATGAAATTTGGATGCTCCATTGAGCACACGGCGCACCTTGCCGGGTTTGTTCGGGTTCAAAACCGGATGGTGTGGAAGATACCATTCACGTTCGGCTCGTGAGCTGGGATCGTGCGGGTTGACGGTTATGACATATCCTTCACTTATATCTTCTCTGATTGTTTCGGTATACTTCTCGCGAAGTAACGGATCTTTATCTAATCTTTTCTCTAACGACTTCAATTGGGCTAATGAAGAATAATAATTGTTAGGCAAGCTAACATCATTATCACTCCACAGCATCGGTACAGTGTAACGCTCACCATCGTGAACGGTTTCAGTTTTTAGGATCGACAAAGCACGCTTGTCTGCGGCGGAACGGGCATCTACTTGCTTGAACGCACCATACGACTCTAACTCATACCAAGTTTTGATTTGGTCGGTCAGAGAAGTATCGTCCGTAACGCAGTTAAAGGAAGAAGAATTTAAGGACGAACGATCAGGAGACGGACCACTAATGACGCAACCTATCGGAAGTCGGACGGCGCACGGTGAGTCAAG